GGACTGTGAGGATGGTACAAGACCAGACAGTGTTTTATTCTGTTGTACATATGGTCACTATGAGTCAGAGCCAACTCAATGGCACCTGACAACAACAACAACACTGGGTGAGTTGAAACAGGCAACATTTAGGTTAGCAGTCAACTGCAAACTGTTTGTGCCACCTAGTACTTAAACAAACCAAACTCACTGCCGTTGAGTCAGATCCAACTCATATCCACCCCTCCTTGGGTTTCCGAGGCAGTATCACTATTGAAGTAGATTGCCCAACCTTTTTCTGAGGAGTGGCTGGTGGGTTTGAACCACCAGGCTTTTAGTTAGCAGTCAAATGCCTCAGCTACTATGCCACCTAGTACTTAATGAAGTTAAATCTATTCATACTCCAGACTTAGTTACCATGGGTCAGAACTGCTTGATGGCACCTAACAACAATAACGATGTGTTTTCGTCAGAGGTGTCATTATTACCCAATTATAATGAAGCTTCAAATCACGTGGTTTTATGTGCTACAAGCATGGACTGTTGTTTTCATTATTGATAGTGTTTTTACAGTCATTGATTTTGTCAATTTTTCTGGTGTTTTAGCTATAATATTGTGGTACGTAGTATTTGTGAACCTGTATCAATAACTTTTTTGAAAATGAAGGGGTAATTAAAGAAAAGGAGAAAAATCAAAAAAGCTTCCTCTCAGTTATTAATACTTTGTAATTAACAATGTAATTCAATGTAGAAAGATTTTACAAAACAATTTTCTGGTTAGTATTAACATAATGTAAGAAGTATCACATGTAAGCAACTTACAGCTCACTGTCATTGAGTCATTTCCAACTCACAGCGACCCCTCCTTGGGTTTCAGAGGCAGTATCTCCACGGAAGGAGATTGCCCAATTTTCCTTCTGAGGAGTGGCTGGTGGGTTTGAACCACCAGCCTTACTATTTTATAATTAAAATTGATTATAAACATTACTAAAGATTCTGTATGGTCTGGTGTGGGAGAGTCTATGGCAGGGGTGAGGAGTGGTGTAACACCATGAGTTACAACACTGTGTGACATGACACCATCCCCAGTAATGCTACTGGTTCTTCAAAATTGCTAACATGCTTCCACCCTGGGGCCCTTGCACTAATAATTCTCAGGCTTGCAAAGCCCTCCAGCAGCCATTCTCATGGTCCTCACTCAAAGTTAGCTCTGACATTCTCTGCCTAAAGCAGCAACACCTAACACTCTCTCTCCCCTCACTATGCTTCATTCTTCTTCTTAGCCTTCACCACCTATTAACATCTTATACTAAAGAAAGAAAAAAAAAAGTTGCCATTGCGTCTATAGGGTTTTCATGGCTATGACCTTTCAGAAGCAGATGGCCAGGAATTTCTTGTGAGGTATCTCTGGACAAGTTCAAACCACCAACCTTTCAGCACTTAATCTTTTGCACCACCTAGAGACTCTAACATCTTATATACCATTTGCTTTTCTATTCTCTCTCTTCCACACCAAAAATGAAAACTCTGCAAAGACACAGCTCTCTGCTTTGTTGACTTGTGGTGGCATAGCACACACAGTGTCTGGCACACAGTAAAGGCTCTACATATGTGCTGACTGAGTTAATGAACTCTACTTGCTGCACCTGAGGTCTGGAAAGAAAACAAAGTCAGAACAAAACAAAATACATGTGGAAGGCTCTCTAATAAATCTTGTTGTTAGGTGCCACTGAGTTGATTCTGACTCATAGCAGCCCCATGTGATGGACTAGAACTGCCCCATAGGATTTCCTGCCTGTAATCTTTATGGGAGCAAATCTCCAGATCATCTGTCCTATAGAGTAGCTGGGGGAGGTTAAAACTGCTGACCTTTCAGATACCAGTCAAGTGTTTAACTATTGTACCACCAGGGCTTCTGTAATAAATCTTAGCTGATAGATTTTAAATGAGACAATCTACAAGAAGTGCTAAAATATACACAAGATTCAGGTTCTTCTATATTCAGAGACCTCATAGGCTAGTGTCTGGCCACATCAAAACACCTAGCCAACCTGTTTTCCTCTTCTGAAAATGCTGATTACCCTGTGCATGAAGGCTGTGTAAGGTGCCAAATGTGTACCAGTTAGAGGGAGAAAAGAAAGGCTGGCTTTGAGTGGCAGCTCCCCATTTTTGGCCTACTTGGCTCTGTAAGCAAGCTCCCACCTGCCATCCAGAACAAGGGCTTTGAGAGGTTTCCAGGGAAACCAATGCTGCTCTCTGGAGAGAAAGGAGAAGCAGGCGAGGCACAGGAATCCCTGAAAGGAAATCTAACACTCCCACAGCATCCCACAAAAACACTTCTTCCCAGGGGTAGCACATATTTGGGGGTTGGGAGTAGGGAGGCTATTTGAGGATCCTGATGAAGACTGATTAATTTGGATCATGATGGTCAGTTTTGGTGGATGGCACAAGACATCCGATGCTGGCTAAGGGCTGAGTACCACTCCACGGAGGAACCTGAGCAAAGAAAGGAATTAGACTCTTCCCTAGGTGGGGCTTAGAGCTGCTCAAATGTACTGGTGAGAGAAGGCAGAAGCAGTTGCCATCAGTGGCCAAGCCTGTGGAAGTGGAGAGACAGAGGATAGGCTGTGCCTCTAGGAACACTGTGGCAACCACATTTAGAGGGCAATGAAGCGCTGGAGTAAGGAGCTCTCGTGGCATAGTGGCATAGTGCCTAAAGTATCTGACTACTAATCAGAAGTTAGGGGGTTCAAACTCACCAGCAGAAGGAAGATGGGGCAATCTACTCCCGTAAAGATTTACCATCTCAGAAACCCAATGGGGGTCACTATGGGTCAGAATCAACTTGATGGCAATGAGTTTGGTTTGGTGATTTGAAGTGCTGGAGTAGGAGGGCAGGCTACCTTTATGGTCTTCTGTCCCCCCTTCAGAGGCAGTGGTTGGCAGGCTAGGGATTGAGTGGGTAGATATGGAAGGGTTCTCTGGCTTAGTCACGATAGCCATTGCTGGGCAAAATGGGGTTATCAGGCTTAGGTCTAGGCCCTGTAGTTGTCATAGCTTGGTGTCCAAGGTGGTGGCACTGGAGAGAAGAGAGCAGGGGCTAAGGAACTTGAAGAGGTTGAAAATTATTCTCGTTCTGGAATCTTAGGACTTAAAATTTCACCCACAGTGAAATGTCTTTTCTACTATCACCATACCAGCCCTATCTCCCATCTCCTAACCACTTACATTTCACAATAAACAAGAGACAGGGAAGGCAGCATCTGAAAGGCCCTATCTTCTCTGACACTGACTTGAAGCCATATTGCAAACTCCCCAGGAAGGTCCCAACCCTACTCTGCCCAATGCCCAGGGTACTCTGAGGATGCCAGGGGTTACCACATTTCATGGACATGGAACTTGCTCTCCTACTGAAGACTACTAAAATCCAATACAGGGGAAAGCCAGCAGACCACTGTCAGGCCCTCTAGAACACAGCTTCTCAAACTATCTGTGGGGGTGGATGAGAGTGTTTTAAATTTCTAATGCATTATGATCAATACAATAAAAATGAATCATTTAGAAAATGATTACCACTTGGATGTCACAGCAGCAGTAAACTGCTTTGAAAATTTCTGACTGCTTAGTTTCATTTTCTGTGTTAATCCTGTTGCAGAAAAATACAGTTTGTAGCCCACTGTCAGGTCACTGACCACTTGGTGGGTGGCTGTGTTCTGTCCAATAAAACTTTCTGTGGTGACGGGCATGTTCTACAAGACTGAGCACTTGAAATGTGGCTAGTGAGACTGAGGAACTAAAATTTTAACTTTATTAAATTTTAACTACAGGCAGTCCCTGGGTTACAGACAAGATTCATTCCTAAGTATGTCTTTCAATCAAATTTGTAGTAAGTCAGAGCAGGTGCATATGGTTCTTACTTAGCCTTACTTTACTCTGGTAGCATAGTGGTTAAACTATTGGGCTGCTAACCCAAAGCTTGAGAGTTTGAACCCACCAACCGCTCTGCAACAGAAAGATGAGGCAGTCTGCTTCCATAAAGATTTATAGCCTTGAAACCCTATGAGGCAATTCTACTCTGTCAAAAAGGGTCACTATGAGTCAGAATTGACTCTATAGCAGTGGGTTTGGTTTTGCCTAATGCAAGAAAGGAGGTCTGGTGGTGCAGAGGTTAAAGCACTTGGCTACTAACCAAAAGGTCAATGGTTCAAACCCACCAGCCGATCCATGGGAGAAAGATGAGACAGTCAGCTTCAGTAAAGATTTACAGCCTTGGAACCCCTATGATGCAGTTCTACTCAGTCCTAGAAAAGGGTCACTGGAATCGACTCTACGGTAGTGGATTTTGGTTTTAGTGAAAGAGAAGTCTGGAAGGCTTTTCAATGATTAAAAGCTGCTTATGCAGCAAGTGAAGGTGATTATGAGGATGAATTTGTTGCAAGAAGGGGTTGGTTCCATCACTTCAAAATGAAGGCAAATATACATAACATTAAAGGGGAAATACAGTTGTCTCTAAGTGTGGTGGGACACAAGGACTGCTTGTACTTTAAATTTTATTTATTTATTTTTAATTTAAATTTAAAGGAAATAGCCACATGTGGCTAGTGGCTGATGGATAAGATAGTACAGGTCTAGAGCAATTACTGGAGAATAGAAAAGCCACCATGTAAATACCAAGCCATTCAAGCAGGCCGAGGACTACAGGCTGTGAACATAGAGAAAGGGAAGGCAAGAATATTCTTAAACCCAGCTGCTCTTTGATTTGAACATTTGGCCTCCCTGTGGTTAATATCAGGCCACAAACACTGACACAGATGTGGACACACACACATACTGACTTTGGAACCTTTTAAAAGCCTGAGCAAAAAGAAGTGCTCTCTTCAGAGTCAACAGGGCCAGCTTCTCCCTCCTTGGAAGACTGGAGCCCACTTCTACTGCACATAGATAGAGGTTGGGGACCTATTCCTGAATCTGTTCAACCACAGGCCAGTCTTCCCAGGAGCAGCCATGGCTGGGGGTCATACCTTTCCCAGCCTCTCGCACAGCTGGGCAGAGAGCTGGAACTCCTTGCCGTAGCTCAGACACTTGAGAGACAGCTTTGGCTCATTGCACTCCAGATAGGTTTTGGCCAGTTCCAAATACTCCAACTGCTTTTCCCTGGGGGAAGGGAAACAAAACAGAATCTCCATGGAATGTCGACCCAACACCAATATATTTAACCTGCTGCTCTCATTCAAGCAATACTGAAATGATCCCCAAGACTCTTACTTGGGACTGACTTTCTTGGATTTCATGTTCAGGGCAGTGTTGTGGGCCAGTGCCAACTTCTCCTTCTCAAATGCACCTCCTTTTTGGTAGCATTTAGCAGCAACCTGAAAGAGGCAAAAGGTTATGATCGATTGCCTGAAAGGTAAGGAGGTAACACAGAACAAGAGTTAAGCATGCATCACATGTTTCCACTGACAATGCTTGGCATCTCACCCAGCCCCATCTGAGAAGAGGAACAGGAAGGTATTGGTATGTTAATGAAAGTAGCACAGAGGATAATACCCAGTGGGAATAACCTGGTAACATTTCACACTCAAAAGTGTCTTTTGGGGATATTCAGAAGTCCTGCAGAAGCTACATAATAGGGATTTTTTTTTTTTTCAATAGGCCACCATCCACAAGCCACCATTAACAACATCCTCATTTAATCTCCCACCAGTCGTGTGCGAGAAGTATCTTCCTTCTCACTATATATATAGCAGCAACCTCAGGTTAGAGACATGGAGTGATTGGCCCAAAGCCACCCAGTGGATATCCTGGGCTTTGACACAGGTTTCCCCCAGTTGGTAACTCCAACAATTACCTTGCAGTGTTGGTGGAACAGCTGGAGCACAGGATGGGAATGATGGCACAACACAACCAAGAAAATAACTGACCAGATCCTTGGGATAGTCAGATCTGGGATAACCAAACCCTCTGAACATAAGGGAGACAAACATGTGTTTGCAGGTGAGTCAGGCTGCACCTCAATTCCCACCAGCAGATAGCTGGTCTTCTAAAACAGAAATGCTAACCTATGCCTCAAAGTATAGGCTATAGGGGCAAAAAGTTCATGTCCTGCCCAACATAAGAGATTGGGTCTCACCACGGGCAAGGGAGGGACAAAGCAGCACTTGCTGATAAAGTGGACAGAAAAGCATCTTCCCTCTTGATCCTACCTGTTCCAGTCTCCTGAGCCCCACACTCCTTCCCACTGCAGGGTATTTGCATACCTTCTCCCCTGATTGAAATGTTTTTTTATCCCTTCCCTGCCTGGCTAATCTCATTCATCCTACAGATCTCAGCTCAAGGTTCCCTCCCTCAGAGAAGCCTTCTCTGGCTACCTAATCCAGGACAGAGCTGTTCTGGTGGCATCTGGTCTCTCAACTGTGACACCTGCAACAACTGAAACTATGCCATTATTCGTGTGCCTGTTTTGCTCACCATCATATCCCTGAGACCAGAACACAATGCTTGACCCATAGCTTAACAGGCATTTGTTGAATGCATGAATCTCAAAAGGTATTCACTTGTATGGTGGTTCTGAAACAATCATTGACATGCAGTCAAAAACTCAACAAACTACCTGGGTCCTGAAGTCCTTTCCAAACCAAAACCAAACTCACTGCCATTGAGTCATAGCGACCCCCCCTTGGGTTTCTGAGGCAGTATCACTATGGAAATAGATTGCCCAACCTTTCTTCCGAGGAGCGGCTGGTAGGTTTGAACCACTAGCCTTCTGGTTAGCAGTCAGATGCCTTAGGCATTATGCTACCAGAGCTCCTCTCAAGTCCTTTAGCAGGGTCAAAATAAAGTCAGACAAGGAGAAGGCTTTTTATAACATTCTCACCTGGGCTAGCTCCCCTAAAAGGATTTTAGATTCAAACATGCAAAAGATATTCAAAAAGAGATAAAGAATTGGAAATCCATAGACAACATATATGGGTAATACCAACAATGATCCAAAAAAAATAAAGGGTGAGACTTTACATAGTTCTCCAATTTTATACCCATACTTGCTGCCCATTTTATCCCACCCTTTCCTTCCCACTCCTCCATGTACACCGAATTCTCAGTTTTATAACAATAGCGAAGTGTTCATATTTCTTTCCAACTATAACCAGGGTGCCCAGGGAATAAAGTTAGGGATCTCAGTCAACTTCTACAACTAAATGCTACGTATTGATACACACCCAAACACTGATATGTTTCTATACACACCCAAATACACAACAGTACAAATACTGTTTTCTCACCCTTATGACAGTATACAAGGGTGGGTCACAGTCTTTCACTTCTCTCTCTACCCATGCCCCTTTATAGCATAATTTTGAAGCTTCTCCCATCAAGAGGGGTAGCTCTTTCCCTTCTCTTTCAATCTGGGCTAGGCCTTGCTTTGGCTAACAGAATGCACCAAAAACAACACTATGCCAGTTCCAAACCTAGGCCTCAAAAGGTCTTGCATTCTTCTATTCACTCTCTTTGAACCCTGCCCAGACACATATGAACAAGCCCCAAGCTAACCTCTGGAGGATGAGTGGTCCTGGAATCCCACTGACCTCCATCACCTGAGCCAACAGCTAACCAACCCCAGAAACAGAGCTGCCTAGCTGACTGGCAGCTGACTACAGATCCATGAGTTGCCCAGCTGAGATCAGAACTGTGAACTACATAAATGACTTATCTCAAGCCACTAATATGCAACAAATGGTTACTGCCAAATCCCAGATGTGAGTTACCACTGTAGACTTAAAACCATTTTCTTTGCCATAGCAAACAAAACTCTCCTAAGAAATAGCGACTGAGAAAACTCTGGGGGAATTCCTTCTCCCAGGTACTTTAGGCAGAAGACATCTCAACTGTGGCTTCCAATCTGATTTAGGATTTCATTGCACTCATCGCTTCCTAGTACCTTTGCCTGGGTACAACTCTGTCCCCAGTGAGAACCATGAAGCAGCAGGACAACCCTTTAGAGAAATCACTGTCTCAACATTTGTTCAGAAGAGGCAAGAGAAACTGCAGATGCTTGTTCTGTAACTTTTGAGGAGCTGGACCCGCTCTAACACTGAGACATGGAAAGGAAAGAAAATGATCTGTCCAAAACCCAACCCCAGTTTTCTCTCAAGAAGCATCTCCTGCAGCTGCCAGCATAGGGCACTCCGGGTGCCTGGGACAGGTAGATCTCAGGGAAACGTGCATGGGGTCATGCCAAGCCACTGTTGGTTATTTACCCCATAGCACTCCTAGCTCCCTTTCTTATCTGAAGGCAGAATCCACTTTCCATGAAGGGCTGAAACTGCCAGTTGGCATTACTCTCCCAGACTCCCTTGCAGCTAGCAGTGGCCTAGTACTAGACAATGAGACATAAGGGGAAGGCTACTGGGTACTTCATAATAAAAAAGAGCCCCATGAAAAGAAGACTGCCTGCCCTTCATTCCTGCTGGGGGTGCTGCTGAGGGGGAATCTGATGCTTAAAGCTACTACAGCCATTATGCAACCATGAGGAGGAACTGTGATGATATAAGAAAGACACAGAATAAGACTGGGCTTTTGTTGACTTTGTTGGACTGCTGAGCCAACCCTAAGATCAGACTACTTGTTATTGGATTTTTAGTAGAGTGTCTGTAACTTGCAGGTGAAGCCATCATTACTACTACATCATAGGAGACACATATGCCATGGTTCCCCACCTGAGACCCTGTGACAAGCAGGGGTGCTTACTGGGGCGGAAGAGATGAGGCTCTTCCAGCTTGTTTCAGTATTTCAAGAGGACTAACAGAGGTAACATTTTCCAGATGACTGCTCAAGCCTACAAAAATGGCATATGGCTGGAAACTGGTCAGCTCAGCCTGGTTTATAAAGCTTAACCAATTATGCTCATCGGACTCTGAGGGACAGTTAAGTTTTTCAATTCGAAAAAATAAAAGAGAGAACTAATGTGTTACTGTTTTTAAAATACATTATGGTAACAGCAAAAGCTTTCTAAGTACAGGGTGCAGGAGAAAAAGAAAATAAATAGAAGGATGACTTACAGGGGCAATACCACAGACTGTTTCATTTACCTATTTGCACATGCTGGCCCTTGGCCAAAACAAAGGGTTATCATGACTGTGCTGGGGAGAGTATGGGACAGGGAGCTCTCATCATTGCATGATTGACAAACTGATGTTTCCAAAGAAGTGATTTGACAACAAGCACTTTTACCTCTATCCTACCATGGTGATAAATGTGATTGCAGGAAACCTGCCTTAAGTCCTGACAAGGCTGCTGATCACAAAGACTTCACTACTTGGCTCCTGGTGTGGCCCCTTACCTTCCAGCACTGGTGCTTGGCATAGTACTCTCCTTGTGCAATCCACTCCTCAGGGGTTGAAGTCTTAATGAACATGCTATCATCAAAGTCTAAAATGAAAAAGAAAAGCATATTTACTTCCCTGAGCATTCATTCACTTAAACCTGTGTTATGTTACTAGTATTTGTTTAAGATATACTTTAGCTTCCAAACTGGACTGATGTGGATTTTATAAGAGGGAAGAGAGAGCAAGAAATGATATTGCTAGGTTTTCCATTTTTCTTTTTAATTGCAGAAAAATATACACAACATAAAACTTGCCTTTTTAGCCATTTTCAATAGGCACCATGGGTACAATCCAGTAGCATTAATCACACTCACAATGTTGTACAACTATCCCCACTACTTGTTTCCAAAACTCTTTCGTCACCCCAGACACAAACTCTGTACCCATTAAGCAGTAACATTCCATGATTCCCACAGCTACCCTCTGGTAACTACTGATATACTTTCTGTCTCCATGCATTTGTCTATTCTAGATATTTCCTATGAATAAGAGCATACAGTATTTATACTTTGGTGTCTTGCTTATTTCACTTAGCATAATGTTTTCAAAGTTCATCCATGTCATAGAATTTCATTTCTCTTTATGTCTGATAGGAACCCTGGTAATACACTAGTTAAGTGTTTGGCTACTAACCTCAAGGTTAGCAATTTGAACCCATCTGTGGAAGAAAGATGTGGCATTCTGCTTCCCTAAAGATTTATACCCTTGGAAACCCTATGGGGGCAGTTCAACTCTGTCCTACAGGTTGCTATGTGTCAGAATCTACTAGATTGCAATGCTTTTTTTGCAGCTAATAATAATCCACCATACGCATATAAGGTCCCTGGATAGTGCTAGTGGTTTGCACTTGACTACTAACTAATTGACAGGCTGGTGTGGGATGTCCAGACCTCTACGACTGCTGCTTGACAAAGGTCCAGCTGTTAAGATTCTTGGGCAGAAGCCAATTCTACCTTTACTTTAGAACTGTATTCTGGTCCGTTATCTTAACTGCTACAATAATCTTTATGGTAATCATGCTCCTTCTGGTTCTTCCCAGAGGGTCCAAAACTGATTTTCATGTTTCCCTTGAATCAGGCCACCTTCCAGATGACTCTCTGATTTCCAATTCCAAAAACCCCAGTTTTCCTAGAAATCCCCATGATAAGCCAGAGCTAGAAAGGCCCCTGGGAATCCCAAAGACATTGAGAATTCACATTGGTGGAAAGATCTCATGGCTACTCAACCTTCTACAGTACCAACCCCTGCAGCACAACATAGAAAAGGGATTTCTCCTGATAGAAAGAAACCTTGGCCTAAGTGGCTGCCTCGTACAGTTAAGCCTCCTCCTAATGTAGCTTATAGAATTAATGGTAGACTTTGGTATCCTCCTCGGTGAAGGGAGCCCAAACCTTCCCGATGGCCTGACCTTCCTCTTCCTTATACTGGGGCATACATAGAAGGTAAAAGAATGGTGTGGGTAGATGGAAAAAGAGTTCCTTTTAACTCTCTCCCTTTCTTAGAGAGATTAAAACGATCAGGGCCTAGATGTAAAACTACTGCACAGAGACATACTCTAATTGAGCAATGGAACAGTTATTTTAAGAAACTAAAAGGCCACAAGTATATGTTGCTGGACTATGTAGACCCATCTGCACCACAGGCTGGTGGTAATTCAGAGAATGGTGCCAACCACAAGGTTGGGTCACACGTTCTGGCCCCATGTTGTTTTCTTCACCCTGACCATTTTTTCATGTTTTAGTTAACCTCATTGTCTAGCACATTTTACTTATATAATGTTAATGATAGGTAAGTTAGATAAGACTTAAGTTTAGTTTATAAGTTTATTAATAGTTTTATAAGTTTTGGAAAGTTAATAGCCCACAGCCATGTACCTGGAATTGTGGGTTTGTCATTTTGCTTTGTCATTTGTAATCTGCAATATAGTATAAAATAAAGAAGTCCACCTCATTATGTGGGGCACATCTTCATCTTGTGTGAGTGTGTCTCCATCATCTCGCCGACGCCACCTCTCCCTCCAGAGACCCACAGCTGAGGCTGGACCTCGGCACTGGTGGTCTGTACTCACCCAGCAGCATTGGGGAAGAAAGGCCTAGCAACTGATCTGCATCTGCAAAGATCACAGCCAAGAAAGCCCTTTGGGGTCAGCTCTACTCTGTAACACATGAGGTCGCCATGAATCAGAATGGACTTATACACATTTTGTTTACCCAGTCATCTGATGACAGACATTTGGGTTGTTTCCACTTTTTGGCTATTATGAACAATGCTGCAATGAACCCTAGTATACAGGTTTCTGTTTCAGTCCTACTTTCAAGTCTCTTGGGTATCTACCTAGGAGTGAAATGGCTGGGTCCTGTTTAACTTTCTGAACTTTTGCCTACCTTCCTTTTCTGTAAGTCAGAAACCAGATAACATTTTCTAATTCTTCCTAAAAAATTCAGATCCAAGGAACTCTTATCAAACTCTCAGCCTGTGACTTTAGCAAGAAACAAGGTGACAGAATTTTGCAGCATTTCACAAATGTGTAGATTTCTGCCCTCATCACACTAAGCAATTTGACACATTCCTGTTGGTAGATATGGACTACTGCAACCACCTTCTGTCAGTCCCTTCTGTTATCCTCACTAGCCTGCTGGTGACTGTGTCAATTCTCCCCACTCTCCGCCCCAGAGCATCACTAGCAATGGGCAATACTCCCTGTGGGTTTCAAGTCACAGCTCCATGAAGCAAACAAGAGACAATGAGCAACATGCCAATGCTGACAGCCAAATCAGAAGTGAAAGACAGAGACACCCAGGCCAATGGTCATTAAATGGGGGAACAAGGCAGATATGCTGGATTTGTTCAGCAGGGACAAAAACACACATTAAGTCTTATTGCCTAAACCCTCCCTGCTCACCCCTGCTAGTGTCCTGCAGCATATGTGCAGTATGACATCACAGTGTCTTGTTCTTAGTGTGCACTATTAGTTCCCCAGTGACATTTTATTCCCACAGCAAAACCCCACCTTATCTCTGGAATAGGCACCATATTGAAGAAACCCAAATTGCACAGCAACTGCACATATCCCAAGACCCTTTGCACAATGAAAACAGATGCTTTCAAAGATTTAACAATGTGCACCTCACAGCTCAAAATTAAAACTGTAATTTTTCAACAGCCAGGGAGGCAAGATGGCATCCTGCTAACACACTCCACCTAATTCCTCTACATGAGAGACCCAGAAAAACCAAGTGGAAACAGATACAAATAAAGATCCTGGAATTCTGAGCATCAGGTGAGAACATAAATAATCAGACTGAGTGCTGACTGGAAAGAGAGAGAAAAGAAACCAGAACCAGCCAAAGCATTGCCATTTTAAGCATAGAGGGATCAGACATGGATAGGGAGAAAAGAAAAATTCATGGAATCCACACAGCGATAAAGACACAGAGTAGACAGATCAGGAGGAACTCACGGTGAGCGAAATGACGTGCAGGAGATGGGAGAGGAATGTACAGGGCAAAAGGTCAGACTTACAGTGGCACAGGCAGCTGCGGAGTAAGGAGGGAGCCATAAAAAAGGGAATGATATAACTCACCATCAGTAGACACTAGTCATTTGGGCTGAGGACCTACATGAGGGAAAAGTCTGTGTTGAGGTAACTGGAAAAGCTAAACTCAGAGTGGCTTCTCACTTGATTGAATCTTGGCAACAGCTGGACAAAAGGCTGCCTGCACCCAGAAGGGGCACCAGACCCACATCAGTGAATCATAACTGGAGAAATACATTCTCCACTTGAATAAACATGCACTTTTCCAACATCTAGGTAAATACTCCTTCCATCCCCACCAACCCAGTGGCTAAAGAAGCCCCACCCTCACCCAGCTGGATCCCTGGACATCTCCCTGACAGCCCAGCCACCTCTCCCTCCCCCAACAACTCACCTCTAGCAGACAGAGCCAGGGGCTGAAGCTGGCCTGCCTGGTGCCTGAGGCACTGACAGATCTTTTTCACACTGAACACAATAGGCACACTTCTGTAGCCTCCTCTCTCAGAGGTGCCCGCTTACAACAGGCACCTCCTCTGCCAGTGGAAAGGCCTGTGTTGAGGCAGTTGGAGAAGTCTTAGGGTGGCCCTTCACTTGAGTCTGGGCAGGAGCTGAATAAATGGCTGTGTGTGCACACAGGGGTGCCCATCCATGCCAGTGAATCAAGACTGGAGAACTACATTCTCTGCTCCAACAAACACAGCTTCCCTGCAAACAGGGGGAAAGCCTCTCCCGTCACCATTAAGCCAGTAGCTAGGGAAGTTTCACCCAGAGCCCCAGGCCACCTCCTCTACAACCTAGGCACCCTCAGCAAGCCACTCCAAATAGACAGATCTAAGGGCTGTGACTCTCCCTTTCTGTGCTTGCATAACTGGCTGATCTTTCTTACATTGAGCACAAGAGACAAACACCTGCAGCCTCCTCTCTTGCAGATGCCCACTCATGCAAGTCTCCTTTCACCTTAGCCTATTAACCATAACTACAAAAGTCCCTCCTCCTCGGTTTCCTTTCTTTCCCCTTATCCTTCTCACTTTTCTCCTTTTCTTTTTCACAATTTTTCTTCCTTTTCATTTGTTCATTTCTCTCTCTTATTTTTCTTCTTTCATTTTTACCAATCTTTCTTCTTGTTCACTACCCCCCTTTTCTTTTTATTCCTTTTTTCTCAATTTTTATCTTTCATTTCTATTCCTTTTTTTCTTTTTTATCTCTTCTTCTCCTAGGGTTTCTTTTTTACTTTTTCTGCCCCATCTAATGAGAGGAAGACATTGACTCTCCACTAGTCAGCTTTATCTACTACACTGACCACCTCACCCAACAGACGAGCACCACCAACAACCAGCTCCTGCACCTCTGGATCAGTGACAGATGGACAACACCTGTTCATCACGTCTGCAGATCCTCTTCACAACAAACAAATACCCACATCCACCTTCCCACCAGATATCCCACCACCTAGGAGACAGCTGGGGAATGCCCCAGTGCTGCCAACCTAATAACCAAAGGAGCACACC